CAGAGGCCTAAACATAAAACCTACAACTATAAAACTTCTAGAGGGGAACATGGGAGAAAATCCTTGTGTAACCTTTGGTTAGGCAAATATTTCTTACATATGATATCAAAGGATGAGCCACAAAAGCACAAATTGAAAAACCGGCCTTCAGAAAAATTAAAACTTACCTTTCTTCAAAAGAATGGTAAGTCACAGACTGGGAGAAAATCTTTGCAAAACATATATCTCATAAAGGATATCCATTTGTATACATGTGTCAAAACTCAAAAAAAATTATACACTTTCAGTATTTACACCTGATTGTATTATCAATTACAACTGAATAAATCTTTCAAAAAGATGAAGTTGAGCTAAGGCAGTATCAGAGGAGATGCACATAAAATATAGGAGAGAGGTAGAATCCTTAGGACTTGGTAACAGAAATAGGTGAGAGATGCTCAGTTTCCTTTATTAAATGTGGATTCAAGTAAGACCTTTTACCTTCAAGTAGCTATTTAATGTAAACCAAAAATGACTGCGGTGTTAAATCACTGCACTGATGCTAGTTGGGTTTTGTTGTTGTTATTGGAAAAAAAGGATCTAAAAGAATCCAAGACAAAGAGAAAGAAAAAGTCAATTATATCTTTCTCCCCCAAAATGTAGCAACAATGGCTGAGGTATTTAACTCAATGACTTAAAGATTCACTTAGCAAAGTAATTTTTATGTAACTAAAACAAGAGGATAAACACCTCTCTCATTGGGTTTATGTAAAAGCAAAAAGGGGATGCCTGCTCTTTTATACTGATCTGACTTCTGAAATGGTTTAGACAGAAGTCCAATGCCACCTGCCCCTGCTGGGTTATGTCAACAGAGAAAGGCCAGTTCTGCAGGGTTTCTCTCTAAAAGCCTCCTGGTTTGCCAATATTTCTCCAACTGCCTCCTGTGAAAAATCCATCCTACAAAGAATAGCACAGACAGAACTGGAGATTTGTTGAGTTTATTTCATCATTTCCAAATTATTATTTGGAATTATTTCCAAATTATTTCCAGTAGAAAATAAATACTTTCTCAAGGCAAAGGTCAAGGTTACACGAGAATACTGGGTTCTTTTGCTTTCAGCTGGAATCATATTATTTAGTTAGAATAAAAGTTGATAGTTTAAGATGTTTTTGATCCATACAAATGGGGAAAGAAATTATTACTTTGTTTGGCTGATAGCATCCTTTGAAATCACATGTCCAGGGAAAGGGAGAAAAAATAGTAATGATGCACTTTGTTTAGAAGAATAGAAACCGTGTTTTAGAGGAGAATGCTCTTAGGTCAGTGCCTCCCACCATCCTCTAAGGGCACTGTTACTGTTTCCACTGGCTCAAATACGCAAACAATAATTCTGTTTCTCAAAGATTCTACAAAATCTACCTGGCCTACCTTCCTTTAAAGAACTGCCAGCCCCCCTTCCTCACAGGGTCTTAGAGGGATTGGAAATTGCCACAGCCCCCCACCAAGCCCCATATATATTCTCTCACTGCCTCTACCCTACATAATAAGTCTGTGATCCAAACTATGCCAATCTGATTCTCCCTCCACCATATATGACCGTTGAGCAAAGATACTTAGTTAGATAAAAAATGAATGAAGCAGAGACATCTAAGAGTAGCTAATTAGAAAAAGCCAATTCCCTAGTCCCTGCTGCTGCTGGGATCCCTGGAGTTTCCTTTGTTCTTGATCCTTCCTCAGCCCAGTTTGTTCAACTCTTTCTTACTTAATTTTGTATAACAAAGAATTCGGTGGTCTTTGTCTTCAGGTCAATTTCCCTGGTGATAGGAAAATTGAAAAAAATAGAAAAAATAGAAAAAAAATCCCTCTGTTATTCATGTTGGGGCCCTTGGATCACACTTGAGTTTGAGCTAACAACTCTGGACAGGGGCTAGTGACCAGGAAGACCAACCAGGTGACTAGGAGATTGGGCCTTTGGGCCAGGAGATATTAGCCCAACCTTCAGAAAGGAAAAGGGGGTGCAGAATGAGTGCCATCATGGAGCCAGTGATTCAATCAATCATGTCTATGAAATAGGCCCTCAATAAAAACTCTGGACACTGAGGCTCAGATGAGCTTTCCGGTCAGCAAACATATTCACGATTAATGTGCTGGGAGGGTGATAGGTCCTGATTCCATGAGGGGAAGAGGGACAGAAGCTCCAAATTCAGGACCCTCCTAGACCTCACCCTATTAGTCTCTTCTTTCGTCTGGCCCGAACTTTTATCCATTATAATAAAATTGTAACCATAAGTACAGCACTTTCCTGAGTTCTGTGAGTCATTTAGCAAATTATCAAACCTGAGGGGATGGATAGTGGGAACCCATGATTTGTAGCCAGTCGGTCAGAGCACAGGTGGCAGGAAACACCCAAAGTTTATGGCTGGTCAGTGTCTGAAGTGACAGCAGTCCTCTTGGGGACTATGCCCTTAACCTGTGAAGTCTGCACTAACTGGGTAGTCAGTGACAGAATCGCATTGCATTATTTCATGAAATACTCTCTCTGCCTCATATTCCTCATCTGTAAATGGAGACAATCATGGTATTTCGACTTCAAAGGGTTTTTGTGCAAAACAAACGAGTTACTATACATGAATCACTCAGAACAGTGGCTAGCATATATCAAATACTATGTAAATATTAAAGTCAGTTTTTTAGTTCTTGTTGTTTTTAGTACTGAAGTCTAGAACTGGCTAATGTAGCAATTATCAGGCTTTTCTGTTAAAATCTAAATAACACTGAGAAAACACTGGCTCCCACCATCAGTCAGAAAATGTTAACCACACTAATCATGTAGATGGTACTGACACTAGCCAGCTTATGTTCTGCACACAAATGAACACTGCTGATATCTATCTTATCTAGCAAAACTCAGGCCAGCCAGCTTGTGCCAGTGCCAGAATATCACATGCGTTTTGTAGCTCTGGGAATCATCACTCCAGAGATTAGGGGCCTTGTTGTAAATAACAAAGCAAATTGTCAGGAGGAATAGTACACATGAAGATCCTTACTTTTAGCTTGTCGAATCACCAGGCATGACACATGGTGAGCAAATCCTAAAATGATACATACATGTCACCTCTCGGCTTAGCTATAAGCTACCTCCCAGGGCACTGGAATGTTTCTCTGCTCATCAGTAATGGAAACCAACCCCTCAAAACTCACTCCATTGCCTTCCATCTTCCTGTCATCTAGAACATACTGGGAAGTGTTCCAAATAGTTACTGAGTCCAGGAATAAACTTCTTACCAGAAAACTGTCTTGGCTGCTTTTTAGTATTATGATTTCGTCCCTCTGTTTCTGCCCTCTCTTGGTCACTTTCCCTTCCCAGCTACTTCTGTGCGAGCTTTCAGAGAAGGCCAGGAATGCTCTCCCTGCCATTGTTCATTCCAAATTCCCACTTATGAAACCCACTCTTCAAACCCAGGCACCATGTCCTCATGTTGTTACAGAAAAAAGGAGAAAACTAAAATTAAACAGTACTAATAGAAGATTTTTCCTGGCAGTGCCAGAATAATTCCAAAGATCATTTCACTGCTTGATCTCGCATCAGTAGACAGCCAGAGCTGCTCAGGAACTATTAAACAAAGCCCCCACAAGGAACTTGGCTCCTAACAATTTCCAGAAAGCTGTCTGTAGAGCTCACTTATGCTTCTTCTAAACTGATAAAAACACAGAATGAACAGGAAGTATCAGGACCAGAATCCAGGTCTTGCTTCGAATCTCATGTTCCCCACATACATTATACAGGATCCCTTCCAGATCTAAAATTCTGTAATCCTAGGCAGGATTAAAACAAAAATAGACACTGCCTCATTTCCTACCAAAACTGGTTTTCTCTACCACCAGACCAGTGCTTTCAACCGAGACGGCACGGAAAAGCACTGGCCCAGCGAGAGGAAGGTCCAGGTCTAAATCCTGGCTCTACTATTTACTAAGTGCATGAAAACGAACAAATCGCTTTATAAATCTGGGCATAAGGCTCCTCATCTGCAAAAGCAGGGGCCCTGGCGGTCACTTAAGTTTAACCCTTCTTAGCATCAAGACCTACCCTATGAGACCCTGCAAAGAGACTGCTTCCAATCTTGTTAGTATCAAAGGATACTCCAGCCACATATAGAGATGGAGAGGAGGCTAAAGCCCTGTCTTTCCCTTCCCTGTCAGGCTTCACGAGGTTAGATATGCTCTTTCACTCAGAGCTCTGAAGCAAATGCTCCAGGAAAAAAAAAAAAAATGGCAGTCACCGCTTAACAGTTTTATGCATGAGAAATAACTAAAGTTTTTATTTAATAAGTTCAACACGAGGCCACAGAATGACATGCCTGCTGAAGACTCCAGTATCTAATTAGGCTGCATTCACAGATGCACACAGGGTCCAGAACTAAGAAGTTAACAGTCCTGCTCAACTCGTGACGTGTGGTCAAACCACACGTAGGGGTCTGCGTCCAACTCTAGGAGCTATGATCTAAGACATTAACAAAAGTGTTCACAGGCAGGAAACCAAGATGAGGAGGAGGCTGAGAAAACATGTTTCCTTCAAAGAACCTGGCTATTTAACCTGGAAAAGAGAAGGCTCAGGGGAGAGTCCATCTTACTTCCAGCCAATCTTTGAATCATCTAGGTCTCAGAGACCAAGTGGGGAGCTATGGAAGGAAGGGGCTGCCTCAAAAGGCCAGCAAGCTCCCTATCTCTGGAGAAGCAGCAGAAAGTGGGGTAGGTGGTGGAGATGGGGAAGGACATGATGGAATTCAATTAGAATGCCAATGAAGAGCAGCTCCAATTCTATTGGGAGGGTCTTCCCCCACTCCCAGCACAGTGACTAGATTCAGTCTTATTCAGTGACTATATGTAGAACCATTTTAATAATTTGCTCTTTACAAAGCGTTTTATACTCATGTACTCTTGAGGCCAAGTTGCTGCCCATCTTCTTCTGTCTTCTCTAAACCTTCCAGCAACTAAGATTGACAACCAAGCTGCCTATTACCTTCTGAAGACTTCCACGCCTTCCACAGGTCCTCCACACTGATGAGCTTATCCTCACCATGGAAGGTGCTGTGTTTCACTGTCGGGTCATGGTAATTGAGGTCCTCCCTCAGGAACTGCAAGGGAAAAGCACACAAGTCACAAGAGATACCTAGGATCCAGCCCACCAAGATCTCCACGCAGGCCACCCAGCTTTCCACAGCACACTCCATCCACCCAACGTACATGTGTATCACGCCACTTATCTGTCTTTCCAAGTGCATATGTCCTAGTTGCCAACTACACTGTCTCTTCTTCTTTGTTGTATGTTTCACTTGAAAAAAATGAATAAGAAAGTCCTCCCTCATATTTTTCTAATTATGGAAAGATACTAAATAATAGTTAACCGGAATTCAATCAGCTAGAAGAAGGAAGAAGGATAGAGAAAAAGAATTAACAATTTGTGATCACTTGTTTATACACTAAGCAACATTCCAAGAACCTCTACAATACTTTTTCATCTAATCCTCTACAACCAATGAATTATCACACCTATTTTATAAACGAGAACAGTAATACTCTAAGATAATGCAACCTGCCCCAAATCACATTGAATTTAGAGAGATTAAATTACTTGTTATGATGGTTTTAAAATGTGTCCACAATTCTATGACAATCCTCCCACAAAAGGTGAATTCCCCTCCCCCTGAATATAGGCTGACATGAGTGACTCATCTTCTAACACACAGAATGTGGCAGCAGTGATGTTGAAGGACTCCAAGGCTAGGTGAGAAAAGGCAATACAGAGTCCACCTGCCTCTCTCCCTTTTGGGACACATGCCTTGAGAGCCCTGAACAACATATATGAAGCCTGGCTACCCAAAAGCCACCACTCTGGAGAGATCATGTGGAAAGACTATATAGAAATAGAGAGAGATGTCTGAGCAGCCCCAGCTGTTTGTCTCCCCCGCGCAGGAGTCAGACATGTGAGTGACTGAGATTTCAGGTGATTCCAGCCCCCAGCTTCTGAGTCACTGCATCTGATCTCAAGTGGACACAGATGAGCTGTCCCTGCTGAGCCATGCCCTGGTTGCAGGTAAATGACAAAAGAAATGTTGTTGCTGTTTTAAGCCACTGAGTTTTGGGGAAGTTTGTTATACAGCATTAGATAACTCAAACATTTCCTCAAGGTTACAGCTGATAAGTGATGGATTTGTATTCCAACCCAAGATATCTGACTTTATTGTCCAAATTTTTCCCCAGCACTGTAGATGCTGTCCTTTAATTATTGGTATTTCTTTTCATAATATACTCTTACAAGAAAAAAGAAAAGCAAAAGAAATCAAAGCTTTTAGAAATTTTTTTAGATTTTATTTATTTATTTGAGATAGAGAAAGAGGAAGAGAGAGCACACGCGCGCACAAGCAGGGGGAGCAACAGGCAGAGGGAGAGGGAGAAGCAGGGTCCCCACTGAGCAGAAAACCTGATGCGGATGGGGCGCCTGGGTGGCTCAGTCAGTTAAGCGGTTAAGCGTCTGCCTTCAGCTCAGGTCATGATCCCAGGGTCCTGGGATCGAGCCCAGCGTCGGGCTCCCTGCTCCACCGCGGCGAGTCTGCTTCTCCCTCTCCCTCTGCTTGCTGCTCCCCCTGCTTGTGCTCTCTCTCTCTCTCTGTGTCAAATAAATAAATAAAATCTTTAAAAAAAAAAAAAAAAAAAGGAAGAAAGAAAGCCTGATGCAGGGCTCGATCCCAGGACCCTGGGATCATGACCTGAGCCGAAGGCAGACGCTTAACCAACTGAGCCAACCAGGCATCCTGAGAAAATTTATTTTTTTAAATATTTTATTTATTTATTTGACAGACAGCGAGAGAGGGAACACAAGCAGGGGGAGAGGGAGAGGGAGAAGCAGGCTTCCCCTGAGCAGGGAGCCCGATGCGGGGCTCCATCCCAGGACCCTGGGATCATGACCTGAGCCGAAGGCAGACGCTTAACGACTGAGCCATCCAGGCGCCCCTTTACTGGTATTTTTTACTTGATGTGACTTTGTCATCACACATTCCTTTAGTATTTGAACATATTTATAATGGCTACTTTTAAGTCTTTCTCTATTAAATCTGAAACTTGGTTACTCTCACGGTTTCCTTTGCCAAGAGCAGTGGTATTCATGGTCTGTCATTTTAGAGAAGTCAAGGAAGGTCTCATTAAGAAGGTAACTTTCAAGCATATATCTGAAGGAGATGTTAGAAAGGCAAGCAGAATAACTGGGAGAAGAGCATCTGAAGCATAGGGAATGGCAAATGCAAAGGCCCTGAGGCAAGAACATGCTCAGTATGTTCAAGGAATAGCAAGGGGGCCAGTATGGCTGAAGAGAAATGAGAGGCAGTGACTAGTGGGACATGAACTAGGGAAGAAGCAGGGGTCCAGATCATAAGCCCTTGTAGACCATTATAAGGACTTGGACTTCGACTCTGAGAGGGAAGTTGTTGGAGGAATTTGACAGAGATGCAACGTGATCACATATATATATATATATATATAT